CGCGGTCAGACCGAGTCTGCGCGTTGATGTCCGAGGCGCGAAGAAGCATCGCACAGCTATCTGTTCAAGGCTGACAACGACATAGAGCCATGGGTAGAATCCTGACGAAATGCTTCCTATCGATGGTCCTCTCCGGTCTCACGGCTCTTGTCATGTCACTTGGAAGATTCAGCCGCAAACAGATTTTGATTTTTGCGACCGGAGTTTCTATATTGAGTTTTCTGAGTACACGAGTTTGCTGCTCCATGTATCTTATGGTGCCCTCCATAGTCACCAAATCGGGGCGCGTCATATTAGCGGTGTACGCTCTGGAGCAAGTGTTGACTGGTCCAATAACCGATTTCCTCTTGAACTTGGATATCTTCCTGCGAACGTGCATATGTTTCATAAAGCTTTTCCTGAAATACACTATCGGTGAGTCTCTCGAACGAGGTCCGCGCTCAAAACTGAGGAAACCGATGACCTCAAGTTTCTCGAGCAGAACCCCATCCCCTTTTTCTGCAGACCTCCTACAAACTGTGCTTCGATCCGGCATTCAAAGCTTTCTCGGATATAATGAGTAAAGACCGGCATGATGTGTTCAATTACACCGAGTCAGACATGTCGTGGGTACTTAAACGTGACCAGCTCTGAGCCTTTGACCCAAGACCTCGGGTTTAATTTTCTGAGTTTGAATATAAGCGTAACCCAGCTGGACTATCTTCGCATCACCTACCGCGAATACCAGAACTGGGTGAACAAGCTGCGCACAACCAAAGACTTGGGTGAGGTTCACGTCCAAGCTGCCTATCGAACCGATATCTTTTCCCGAATCGCGGACGGAATCATCCGCTCGAACCGAAGCGTACAGCAAAAGAGCGAAATTATCTTTCACAGGCGGTGCTGAAGGCGATCTCCGGGTCCGCTGCGAGATACTGCTGTTCCTGGCCCATCTCCGTTGCGTAGAAAAAGTTCACGACTCTTGGCCGCTCTGTGATTGGGGCCCGGGTGTGGTTAGAGAGACTTGCCGAGAGGTTTGTCGGCCAATCATCGTCATGTTGACTGAAGACTTCTGCGGGACTGAGAAAGTCACTGATCAATTCCATGCGTGTGATAATTTAAAATTTCCCGAGTGGTTCGCGCGGAACAATTCTTTCGATATCGCTGGAGTGAATACCGAGAGATCCACTCTGGATGACGCTTACAACGAAGCTTCGAACTACCTCAGAACATATAGGGCACGTACTGCTCTTCTCGGTAACATCTTAGAAATAACTCTCTTGCTGATAACGCCCTGTTGTTTCGTCGTCATTTATGGGTTCCTTCATAAATACCAACATTATCCCAGCTTCCACAACTGCTACGTTTACGGAGATTTTGGAAAATTCAGCGAGCAATCGGGTCTCAGGCTGGACGAGAAGGACTTGAAACGTGTCGCAACCTTCTGGACACCGAAACCGCTGGATAATGAGTGGCATGGCATTGAGCGTCTTGTTTTCTCGAAGGTTTGGCTGACTGTGGTCCTCGGCATCCGTGCGCTCAGCGTCAACCATTTGATGGCGAACGTCTTGAAAGTAATGAAAGAAGAGAGTCGACTGTCTGGCGTGCATAACACGGAGCAAAATCTGAGCGTTCAAGTCGTAGGGATCGGTATCGTAGCCAAGTTCATGAGATCATTCCTGGGATACCTTGTGAGTTCGAGTCGGGTCTCGAGCAATGTGGACACGGCTGTCTGTCTCGTCTCGGGACACGACTCTGGGAAAACTGGCCTGATTCTGGGAATCTATGTCTTCATGGTCTTCACTTGTGTCGCAGAAGTATATGCGTTCCGCCTCAGGTTCGTTCTCTGCCGCTATTTCTACCCCGAAGCGCACCGACGTAGGATGCTCTATCTCTGCCACGCTATTTTGCTGTGGCGATCTCAACGTGCTGCTATCGCGGTTGAAATGACGCGCGCGAGCCCAATTGAATGATCCATACATGTGTTTCTGGATTTGGCCAAGCATGGTGACCCTACGGTGAATTTTTGCCATTGTATTCAGGGACTCCTCACTCTTCTATCACCAATTACGGTGATTATGACACATACATATGAAATAATTGATGATGCTATATATACTTATGCATGAGTATAAACATGATGCAGTCATCGCGAAAGTCTTCCATGAATGGTTCTCTGCGTGATGGGCGGTCGTCGGAATCCTTTGTCGTTGAAAGTAAAACCTGTGTGTCTCGCTCTCCTTTACCGACATAATGCTGGTGTTGACTCGGCGAACTTCCAGTCGCGATTCTGAACCCGGGTATCCTCCCGCACAAGCAATCTGTACACTGGATTCTAGATCCTAAAGATCTTCAGGGGGCTGAGGGAGCTCCTCGATCTCCGGGGGTCAGTTCGGGGAAAAGGACAACGACGGGAACATTCCTCGGCGCGAGATAGCTTTCTTTCGCACGGTTCCCCGAGCCAATAGAGCCCTGTCTGGCTGCGGTTTGCTTCTGCCGGGAAGAGCAAGGAGAGGAGCCCGAGATCGAAGACTGCAGCGATTTCCGTGGTGCGCCGCATCACCGGTGATATCGCGCGGCATCAGTTGACTGTCAGCCATCGATATCCCTTCGCGTCGGGGCAGGAGAGGCTAAATTCCTATTCACGGTATGAACTACCGGAAATCTGTGAATTTCGGGGTTTCCGTAGTTATGAATCGTATTATGACCATGATTCCAGCCTTCTCCTCGGAGGAGAGTCATAGATGATCAGACATGACCGTACAATTTTATCTCGACCCACGTTCAGCTTTTCCACCCTCGCCGATTTCCAAAAAAGTCTTGGCGTGTTGTTGTCTTTAACAATCACTACTCGTCCAACGTCGAGACTTGAGTTTTTGGAGGGTGTCTCTTGATGGAAGCTACGCAAGAGACTAACGTACTCGTCCTGCCACCCCTCCCACACATCCTCGACAACTTTTTTCCTGTGTCTCCATATTGCCAGCATCTCGGATCGACGACTTTTCGCCGACAGCTCACTTTCCCGCAGCCGATCCGTGGTTTCGACTATGAGGAAATGCATCGGTGTCAGCACCTCAATCACCTCGGTGTCCCACACCTGACATAGCGGTCTGCGATTAATCATATGCTCAGTCTCACAAACCATGGTTTCGAGTTCCTGGTACTTCAACGTCTGCGTTCCAACGACTCTTTTCAACGCCGCCTTCAGTGTAAAACAAATCTCACGGGGCCTTCGCAATATTGAAGGTCCACTCTGTGCCATCGTGAGTCATAGACTCCTGACTCGCAGCTTCCTGCTGCAGCCTCGAGATTTCCTGTAGATCTACCGCTGCTCTTTTGTAAGCCCCCGCGTTATCGGAGTACATCGTCCTTGGGCAGGTGCGCCTAGCCTCGAAGCGTCGGAAGCTCATCATGAAATCTTAGGCCCCTAGGGACGTGAGCAGCTCCAGGTGTACCCCTCGACTGGCATGGCAAGTGAAGATGCACACCCAGATCTTCCTCTTACCGCCGTTTTCGTCCACGAACAATGGTCCGGCCACATCTGTTCCGTCGTGGGCGAAAGGTGCCGATTGTGACACTCCCGTTTCCGGCGGATTTCCTACGCTCACGGGAACCGGCCTCGCATGGAATCTCCGACATCTGAAAGAGCTATGAATTATTTTTCTGACTGAGCATTTGTCTCCCCCTTGGAATCCAATACTTCTTGCGTGATTCTAACAGACATTGCGTTACGCCGGCATGGCAATTCTTGGCGTGCAGATCTCTCAGGAACAAGGTCGTGATAGAGTGTTTCGGCGGCAAGATTGGTGGATGTTTCGCGATGCTCCCTCTATGGTCATCCAACCTCCCCTGCACACAGATTAAACCGTCCTCCATGAACGGGTCCAACGGCCGAATGATGGAGGCTTCCGGCATCGCTACACTCCTAGCCGCCTCCTCTACCTCTAATGTTTTCTCGTCGCTGGGGCCCGCTTTCGGCAACTGAATCTGCGGTCCCCTCGATCGGCTGTGTAGGATTGGAGTTGAGCACAGCTGAACCGCATGGATGTCTCGTCACGCGGTCGAGTGTCGTCTACCTGGAATACGCTCGCCTGAACTTATTCGACGATAACCTTCTCAGCTCGTTCTAACTCTCGAACGGTGAGTCGGCTTCCGGCTGGAGCTTGGGCCCTACTTGCTCTCGTTTCCTCGATGAACCTTAGCACGTACGCGAGCCACCTCTTCAGCTTCAACCAAGAGCTGAAGCGGTCAATCTCGAAAACTGTCTCCCTCGGCCGCTCGGCTTTCACCAGTGTCACCGCTGCACAAAGGCGCTAGAGCCACTTTTAGGTGGACAAAATCAAACATACGAGGATCGACTCCGGAACAGACGGAGAGTACGCGCGAGTGGTCGGCGTTCAGGGAGCCATAGGCGTAAGCGTGAGCTGAGCACTCACTGATTGATGCGCGGTAATCGAAGTCATTCCCCAATCGGCGGTATCATACGGAATTTCTTCTCCCATCTGCTACTTTCGCGAAATGAATGGCTCTGCGGGAATCCGAGGGAATCTGCGGAAATCCCAGCATATCGATCGAATAATTCATTTTTTGGGTGCGGTATACTTCCCCCGAGATTCTGGAAGCTCATCCTGGGCTCATCAGCGGCTCCCTCTGATGCTCCGAGCGCAGATCTATACATACACGAACACGTCGCGACGTGCGCATCTTCATTCGACCGCGACGTCTGCATTTCGTTCTGCTGTGCTCGAAAGGAACCGAGCCCAGAGCTCATTCCTTCACAAATTTTTATCCAATCCATCGCGAACCGATATATCGAAAAGCCACCTTTGTGGCCGAGTTGTCGTAGTGGCCGAGTAGTCGTAGTGGCCGAGTTGTCCCCGCGGCCGAGTAGTCGTAGTGGCCGAGTTGTCGTGGTGGCCGAGTTTTCGTAGTGGCCGAGTAGTCGTAGTGGCCGAGTTGTCCCCACGGCCGAGATGTCGCGGTCCGGAAACAGTACGTGGTTCATCATATCCAATCGTGTATGGAGTGTCTGTTCAATAAAGCGGCGGTTGGAAGACAGGAGGGAATGCTGAATCCAATTAGGCCGGAACGACGACCATTCGAGCGAGTCCATATCGATTATTTAGGACCTCTTCCGAAGTCGAAAGGGAAGGAACATATCATCGTGTTGGTTGACGGTCTGACAAAGTACGTATTGCTGGAGGCGGTCAAAACAGCAAACGCGGCGGCTGTTATCGATTTCCTGACTCGGACATTTAGAACATATGGGACACCGATGTGGCTGGTGTCGGATCGTGGAACGGCATTCACGGCATTTACGGCGAAATCAACAGAGGAGGTTCTGAGCGGGATGGGGGTTCGGCATATTTTGATCTCGACTCAGAGACCACAATCAAATGGTCAAGTGGAGCGGTTGAATAAGGAAGTAGCGAGGCTACTAAGAACATTAAGCGAGAGTCCGGATAAGTCAGATTGGGCGAAACATATTCAGGCGGCACAGATGCATATGAATAGAGCACCAGCGAGGGGGACAGGAAGGTCGCCTTTCGAGGCATTGCATGGTTATCTGCCGAGGTTAGATAATTAATTTTTCGGGGTTGTCTTTGCAAGAACATGAGACGGTATGGCCGCCGGCGGAAGAAATTCAGAAGGAGATTCGGGAGACGATCATTAAAAATCAAGCGAAATAAGCGGAGGGCTACGATAAGAGAAGGAAACCACATTGGCGGCGGTATGAGATCGGGGATATCGTATTAGTTAGGCGGTTGCCGGTACAGACGGGCTTACCAACAAAGTTGCAACCAAAGTATAGGGGACCGATGGTAACCGACGGTGCTGACGGCATCCCGGGGAGACTGTTTAAGGAAAACGCAGAAGCCATGACAAACCCGATAAGAACACTGATCAGAAAGATACTGGAATCGTCGAGCTACCCACGACAGCTGAAGACGGCAGCACTCAGACCTGTTCATAAGTCGGGACCAGTGTCAGACATATCCAACTTCCGCCCGATTTCGCTCCTGTCCTCCGTCAACAAGATAGTCGAGGAAAAGATCCTGGCTGGGCAGCTCAGGTCTTACCTCGAGGATAACGGCCTCATAAACCGGTCTCAATTCGGCTTCCGAAAAGGCAAGGGATGCGAGTCGGCCGTGTGTGAGGTGACTGACTTCGTCTACTCGGCAAGAAACAGGGGAATGACGGCACTGGCGATTTTTTGCGATCTCAGTAAGGCCTTTGACACAATCCACCACGGCAGACTGATTATGAAGCTCTCTCGCTGTGGAATCAACGGTCCCGCGTTACAACTCCTCGAGTCCTACCTCGAAGACAGGAAACAGATCTTTACCTACGGAGAGGCGTCGAGCTCAGTGGCAGGGATCACATGTGGGGTTCCCCAGGGGAGCGTTCTGGGTCCACTGCTCTTCCTCGTCTACATCAATGACCTCTTGGACCTAAAGACACCTGCGAGAATCGTCTCATTTGCCGACGACACGGTGTTGCTCCTTGAGAGCAGCAATGTGCCTGAGCTGTACGAACGGGCGACACAGTGTCTGTCCATCGTCGTATCGTGGATGGCAGCTAATGGACTTGTACTGAACTCCAGAAAGACCAAGTACATGCTATTCGAAGGAAAAGCAAAAAAGTCGGGCTACCCACTTCTCAAGATCCATAAGAACTGCCACGCGAACAGTTGCGAATGCGTCATCCTCGAAAGAGTCACTACCTACAAATACCTCGGCTTCTACATGGAAGATGATATGAAATTCGGTGGGCACATCTCTCACGTGGTCAGGAAAATGCGGACAGGCGTCGCCTTCCTATACAGGCTTCGAGGCACGGGTTCGACGGAATTTAACAAAATGCTCTACCACGCAATTATCGAATCGCACCTAAGATATATGATACAAATCTACGGAGGAACCTTTCCCACATCCATTGAGCCACTGCTGAGGCTTCAGAGATCCGCGGTCAGACTGGTCTGCCAGGCCCCCCGAAACGCTAGTGCGGAGCCTCTCTTCGAAAGAGCTGGAATACCCCACTTCTACCACCTCTACGCAATCAGCCTCTTCAGGATGCTCTCGCCCAGAGTCATGGATCTTGCTCGTCCCAATCACCACCACCGAACCAGGTTCAAGGAAAATAAAAATCTTTCTATCACTGCACCGCGACTGTCGATCACCGAGAGGACCGCAGCCCGCAACTTCACGAAGCTGTTCAACTCCCTTCCCACTGATATCAAGACCCTCTGCGAGTCACAGGACAAGTCGCCCAGAACAAGGAAAATCGTAAACCTCAGCATCAACAAACACTTTCTGTCAATGAGCCCTGGAGATATCAGGAAGCTGATTGGGTGATTCTATGGAGACACCCGTCTATATGCTCACGGCGAAAATACGAGCACACCCCCCCCCCAAAAAAAAAAAAGAACACAAAATGTAAATATTTAGTATCCGAGAGTAGATACTCGAAAATGTAAGCAGATCTCATCGCGATCGCGCCACGGACCTAGAGTCCCTAGCGAGCGATAAGCAAAGGCAAATGTTCAGGATCATACAATAAATCAAATCATTAATAAAAAAAAAAAAATTACGGAGATTCTACCGAAGGATACATATCGGCTCGCTTAAATGGGGGTCGGAAAGCAATATCTGTGTACGGCGCACTGTTCTCAGTTAAAATGGTACAGAGTGTACGGGGATGAAAGTGACGAGTAGTCTCTGCCTGGCGATGATAATTCCGTTAGCATTCCAGAAAATATTCAACGTTCGGAGGCATCGGAGCCGGAGAAGAATGTCGAGCTATGTGAGCAAGAGGACATTCGAGTCGACGAATTGTCACAACATTTCGAGGGTCTGAACATGTCGATCCAAGAAGAGGAGACGGAACCGAAGATCAGAAAAACAAGACTGACGGTTACAGAGGAATCAAGTGACGACTCTAGAAAAGACGGCGCGCCGAAATCGAAGAGCGAACGGGCTCGAAATCACCAGAAAGTTGAGGCTACACCGTTGACGGGGAGAGAAGCTCAAGAACGACGAATAGGGGGTGAAGCAAGAGTTCGGCCGAAGCGAACAGTGCATTTCCGAGGCAAATATACCAAGTAAATGCTTAGACAGAAGAAGCATAAGGGAAATTAGTAATGGATGATAGGCTGAGAGAAAATATACAGGCGGTAATGTGTAGGTAGACGGTGGAGAAGAAATGTTCAAGTTGAGGACAACTAGGAGGTAGCGATGGCAGAGCGATCGGGCGATGCACACTGAGACTGGCGGAAAGAAGACACCCCCAACGGAAAAGAATTCGGAACGCTCGAATCGAAAAGAGCAGCAGTCAGTTCGACGTGTGGTGTACAACGAGCAGGTCGTCATGAACGTGTGTGCAGATTGCTTGGACAACAGGCACGTGACCGGTTCGCCGGCGTGCAGTGCGAGGAGACGGCCGTGCAGGGGCTGTGGTGCAGTCGGACACTTCGAGAGAAACTGTCCCGCGCGCATCTGCTTCCGATGCGGCGGAGCGGGACATGTACGGGCGGTGTGCACAAGTCCGAGGGCCATGCCCCCGGAGTCGGAGGAAGAGCCGGCCGTCAGCGGAGTTCAGCCGGAGTTCAGCCGGAGTCCAGCGAAGTTCAGCCGGCAGAAGACGGTCGTGCGGAGCCGGGAGTCAGCGGAGTTCAGCCGGCAGAAGACGTTCAGGCGGAGTCGGAAAGCAGAGCGGTGCAGCTGGCGGAAAACGTTCTGGAGGAATCCAGTGAGGAAGATGACGACGAGGATCCTTCCTCCTGGGGGAGCCGCCCCTTCGACGAACCGGAGGAGGAACGGCCGGTCGAGGAGCCGGTGGTGGAGGTCCGGCCACGTGGAGGCGAGACGCCGGCTATGACGGCGCGGAGGGTCTGGAGCCAGCGGGTGGCGTCGTCGGAGGATTCGTCGGCGGAGGCGAGGACGGAGTGTTCACAATGCCCGGCGGAATGGACGGAGGAGGCCGCGCGCAACTTCCGGATGATGGCCCACTACAAGTGCGCCATATGTTTGTTGGTGCCGGAAGCCCCGCAGACGACGAGGTGCGGGCACTTGTTCTGCTTCCTGTGTCTCGCGAAGGCGTTGAGGCAAAACCCGGTGTGCCCGACGTGCAGGACGGAGTTGAGAGGTGAAGACGCAGTGAAGAACCTATATCTGTACGGTAGCCGGTAGAGGGAAATCGCTGTCAGGAGCCAGCGTAGGTAGCGTGACCGAATTTCGTGGTCACATAGAGATGTAGACGGACGTTTGACGTTAGAGGTGTTAGATGGACGTTCGAGGTGTTAGACGGACGTGTGACGTGTCGGACGGATGTTAGAGGTGTAGGATGTAACAGAGTGTGACGAGTAGTCAGAGAGGTCGGTCGCACAGCGACTATAGGTCGGCTGTGGCGGTCTGTGTGTGTGTTCAATAAACTAGAGGTGGCTATCGCTGGTTCGTTAATACCGAGGTCTTCATTCGCCGTATCCCAAGAAGATAGTAGCCCCGACAACCCCATGCTTGTTCAGTCAGGGAGATAACCCGCATTCAAATGCCTGGCTCCTCTGATCTTCGAAGAGCGTCAGGAGAGAATGCTTGCAGCAAGAGCGTGCTTCAAATGCCTGAAGCTGAACCACGACGCCAAACACTGCAGAGAGGGCCCCAAGACGAAATGCCGATACTGCAACGCATCACACTACGCCATCATCTGCCCGAAGGCCTTCAAGAACCAGGCTGGGAAGCCACAACGAAGCGTGTCGACGAACATCAACGTTGACTCACTCGAGACGTCAGTCTTCCTATAGAGTGCGCTCGCCTCGGCTGAAGTCGGAAGAATCAAAGTCCCGTGCCGCATCCTCATAGATCCAGGATCTCGAGCCACTCATATCACTAGGGTGCGTCACTTCATGCATTTTGCATACGTTTCATGAAAATGCATATTTCGACGGTTTTTCGAGCAAAATGCATATTTCGAGCTTTCCCCTCCAGAAGGCATATTATCTGATATATTGCCAGGGAATCTCCGTAATATCCAGCGGTCCGAGGCATAACTACGATTACATGCGATTTTCGGTCGAAAGCTCAGTGTTTCGAGAGTCGAGATGATAATGTTTCCTCGAATTCGCCTAGAGAGAAGCTCCTGTGTAATGGAGGAGGAAGCGGCGGAGTCTCTCGTTGATGTAGAACAATCGCGCCACGTGCACGTCAGCGGCTGTCCCGAGCATTTTGGGAGGTTTACTGTCTGGTGTCAAACAGCTGAGCGGGGAATTTTCTTCATTGTGACCATGACTGCGGGAGATAAAACAGAGCACCGTGGAAGACCTCTCATCCATGAAAGTTCTTGAAGGTTCTTAACATACTCCGGTCCACCTCAACGACTCGATAACCGAGGAATAGCTAAACTCCTCCACCGAAAGTCTTGTAAGCAGCATCATCGACCACCAGTTGGAAGTGAAGCCTTCTTGTGACCACGGCTGGTGGGGTCAGAACAGACGAGCCAGTTCGCTTGGCTGACGGGACAGAATAGACGAGCCAGTTCGCTTGGCTGCCGAAGACTTACACATCACGACTAAATCAGTACGTGATATTTTTCGGGAGAGACGTGCTCTCAACTGACGGGACGGTTCTACTCTGCAAAATATGCGAGAAGGAGATATCGTCGGACAAGAAGTTTTTGGTGTCGCAACACATTAGTAGTGTGAAGCACAAAAGTTTGGCCGAGAGAAAGAAACAATCAGCCTCACCGAGTCTCATCCAGATGAGACCCTTCCTAGAAGCGTCTGGGAAGCAAAGTCAATTCTACGTTGATCTTTGCGATGCTTTCGTATCTGCTGGAATTCCGCTTCGCAAGTTAGACAGCGAGAAGTTCAGTTACTTCCTCGAGAAGTACTGTGGGCAGCAGGTTCCATCGTCCGTGACACTCCGCTTGCACTACCTGAAGAATATATATGAGAAGAAGCTCGAATTCATTCGGCGCTGTGTATCCGATAAACCTATTTGGGTTTCTATAGATGAAACCACCGATGCCACCGGCAGATACGTGGCTAACACAGTAATCGGCCTTCTCACAGCGACGGAAAATAGGAGCTTCCTACTGCACGCGGAGGATTTGGAGAGGACAAACAGTTCTACCGTTGCTCAGGCGTTTATGAATGCCCTGAGCATATTGTGGCCTGGCGGAGTGAAACACGAAAGGGTGCTCCTCTTCGTGACAGACGCTGCACCCTACATGACAAAAGCAGGCAAAGCACTGAAGGTCATCTTTCCACGCATGATACACGTGACTTGCGTGGTGCACGCGCTTCACAGGGTCGCCGAGGAAGTAAGAGTCTTGTTTCCCGATGTAGACAAGTTGATAGCGAATGGGAAAATTTTTTCCTGAAGTCAGCGGCAAGAGTAACCATCTTCCGGGAGACTGCGCCTGGAGTACCCCTACCGCCGCAACCAGTTCTGACACGATGGGGACGTGGCTTGAAGCAGCGCTGTACTACGCTCGTAACCTGAATGCTTTAACCTCTGTCGTGAATAGTCTGGATGGAACTCAAGCAAGCAGTATCCAGTTAGTGCAAGAGCTTCTCCAGAAGTCCTCTCTGGGAGGAAACCTCTCATTCATTGCGGCGCACTTTGACAGTCTCCCCAAGAGCATCGAGAAACTGGAGGCTTCGGGCATCCCGCTGGTTGAAAGCACC